AGATGTAATTAGTAACTAGTAATTAATTACTTTTTTAGAGTAACTGACCCGACACTGATCTGGACCTGACTAAACTGGACAGTGAATCAGATGTCCGCAGACAGTTTCCGTCCTTCAATATTTTGGGATATTAAAATTAGGGCTGTCAATTTAATGCATTAATTTGGTGAGATTTATTATAGCAAAAAATAATACATTCAAATGATTCAAACACGTAGTGCCCCGTTCAGACCTGTCTGACATCTGAGTCTATCAGAATGCTGTTATATGAGCCTAACATTCATGATATGAGGGCAAAAATAACCACCCTTTTATATTTATATCATATGATACAGTTTAGCAATATCACATGAGCAAGAGTGCTGCTCTTCCCCAATATCCACACCACTTCAAATGTGAATACTGATTTATACAACAGCTCAATAAACAAGAAGTTCATATTGTGTTACATTTTAGACACAATCTTGTCTGTTTTTGCTCAGTATCTCAAATGAAAATAGTTCCAATCAAAGTCACAGCAGAAGTGTTGAGCGTCTCTGATCAACAACACAGCAGTGATTCGTTACCGAACGAGTCAGGCACTTGAACGAATCAGTTGAGTGAACGATTCAGTGACTCACTCATTCAGACATTGACTGGCCACCACCTTCTGGCACTTTTAGTTTGATATTCAAAATATCATTTCACTTCTTTAAAATCATTTCAAACTTGAATATTCATTCAAAAAAAAAAAAAACTCATTTATTTTCATTCTCTCTTCAATGCTGAACTGAAATATTTCTTTATAAAGCTATTCTTTCCTGAAGTCTATTAAACGCTTTTCTCATTCAGCACAATAATGACATTAAATTATATTTTGGGGGGAAATTTCTCAATGATGTGGGATTAATTTGTAACTAATCAATCAGCACATCATGCAATTTTAAAAAATAATTACGTGACATCCCTAATTAAATGAGCTACAAATGTCTAACTGGAAAGCATCTGAAAGGCATTGACAGGAGCGAAGGTTTCTCACCGCGGCGCAGAGGCAGGAGCTTGTTCTCCAGAATGTCTCGTGCGTCTGTTCCTTCATCCATCAGGTCGAGTTTAGTGATCACACCGATGGTCCTCTGGCCTGTAACACAACTGCTCTTCAGCATACACAAAACACCACTGGAAGAACCTGCCGGTCACATGAACAACCAGTACTCGAACCTGCCTCGTGTCTTACCACGAAACCACGGCTCCAAAAGCCACGTAATAAACCTTCATCTTATTCTCATGAGGAACTGGTGTGTAATTTTGTAAAGGATTTAGAGCAGGACTAGAGTGCAGCACCAGCTCTGCTCTGAGGCTCTTGGAGGTCAGGAGGTCAGGAGGTCACTCACCCTGAGGGTCGACGTCTTTGGCCAGTTTGAGCGCGTCAGAGTTGGCCAGGTCAGTGTTAGCCGGAGTGACAGCCAGGATCAGGCAGCTCTCGCGGCAGATGAACTGCATGATCATGTCTCGGATCTGATGCTCGATGTCAGCCGGCTGATCTCCCACCGGCACTTTAGT